TAGGACTCCACTGATGATACATTTCCTTTCATTTCTAGCATTGTCTGCAGGACAGCAACAGAAAGCTCCATCAAATAGCCATGTGTGCTTCATAACAGTGTTACCCAGGGTAGGGTACTGCTTTCTGCAAACCCAAGTGAATATCCAGGTTTTCAAAACAATCTGACAGTTAAAAAAAATAATAGAATGGGACAAAGGAGCCCCCCCCCCCCAGCAGCCATATCTGTGTAAGTGTAGACATTGGAAACCACCCTCTCTGGAGTTCTTTGACACCTGGGATATCACCTACCATTTTGGCTTGCCAAGGTAACCCAGGGCAATAATACATTCGCCAGTGTCTTGTGTGCAGCTTGCTGGGGAATCTGGACAGGTCTACTGCCCTCTCCCAAGGAGCAGCAAGCCATCCAACATCTGATGGGCACTAAGCCCTTCTCCAGAGTTTCCAGCACACTGTACATCAAGCAGTGGCTTCAGCTTTGTTTGGGGGAGAAGAGAAGTGAAGTAGGGCAAATGCTGGGAATGGGGCTCATTTGGTGGGAAATATGGTATTTTATCTCCCCTGTGGTGAAATGGGCCTACTCTGGCCTCAGCAGCATATAAGGATACAGAGCCCACCATTTTCTCCAGGGGAACTGATCTCTGCCATCTGGAAAGCAGTTGTAATTCTGAGTGATCTCCAGCCCTCACCTGGAGATTGGACCCATTTTACCTCAGAACAGCAAAACTGTTTAGAATGTTAGAGGCAAAAGCCAATCAAGTCGCATATGCAAACGACCTCTGTGTTCCGAGGCAAAGGCCAATGAGGCTGCATATGCAAATAACCTCTGTGTTCTGACTGGCTATGGGGGGGGGAGAGGAACAGCAAAATGTTTATAATTTTGGAGGCAGGACTCAGGAAAAGCAGCCAGTGGATAGGGAGACTCTCTGAATGACAGATCAGAGAGCGAACTGATTTTGGAGCGTGTGGAATGTTCTAGAGAAGTGCCACCACCATTCGGCTTTTATTTATAAGGGAGATTCCCTTCCCCATATCCTTCCCTTCCTAAAATGTCCTATATAAAATCAAATATAAGTTTAATAATTTAAAAAAACCTCAGAGTGTTGCTCTTTTCAAATCTCCAAATGAATAAGTGAATTTCTTCACATATCCCATCTAGGGGAGCAGAAGGGAGGGGAGGACCAAGTGGGTAGGTGTGAAGCAGAGTCAAAGGGAAACAAGCAGTTAGGAGATGGGGGAGGGAAAGAAAAGCCAGAGGGTTTCCCATCTTGTATTTATTATCCAAGATAGCTTGTTATATATGGGGTGTCTAGTGGTTTCACATCCAGATAACAGGCTTATTAGACCCATACTCAGAATATAGATATGGAGCTGATCAGAAATAATACAATAGTTTCTTGTTGTCTAGAGTAAGGACCTATAGACATACCTGTTTAGTTTAGGAGTATAAGTAATAAAATTGACCTGCAGATAATCAGAACCATTCTATTAATGAAACTGTTCTACATGGTCATCGGTGACTATTTGGATACATGCACATGAGCCTATTGGACAGTTATGGTACATTATTGTTTTAAAATGCTTATACCATTTTCTTCTCTTTTCCAGATGAAGACAGTTAGTGTTGCCTTAGTACTATGCCTAAATGTTGGTGTTGACCCCCCAGATGTGGTGAAGACGACTCCTTGTGCTCGCCTTGAGTGCTGGATAGGTAAGTCTGTTTAAATATTATTATTTTCTTTAAACTGTTATCTTGTCCTGTCTTGAGATTCTAAGTCAGATAATTGTACTTTTAACACAACTTTAAAAGTACAAACTAAAGTTCTTTGAAGTGTCACATTAATTGCCCTGTTTCTTACTGGGTTAACTCATCTTGCTGAAATGCAGTACAAAGGAAAAAAGCCGTACACTCAGGTTTTGGTGAATCCTGTGAGGCTGGGAGTTCTATACTTGTGGAGCAGGCAGTGGGGTTGGATCCCACATAGATTTCCATGGGTGTAGGATGGGGTGTGATTTTTGCTAATTCCCCGCTCACACTGTAGCTGACATTTCCTCTAAGTGCTGCTCCTAGGGATAGTGACCCCCAGGAATAGCGTGGCTGAGAGAATTGGGTGTTTCCCATGGCAGGTGAAAATTGCCCCCCTCCACACCTGCAGAAATCTATGTAGGATCCAAATAATCAAGAACACTTCTGTACATGCCCCTTGTTGTAAGTATATAGCCAGAAGAAAGCTTTAAGTTGATTTAGTGTCTTATAGGGGTAGAGATGGTCTTTTAGTCCATTAGACCCCCCCAAGTCATTTTGGGGCTGTTTTGAAAATCCTTTATTGAGAATGAACATGCTTGGATGTATGCTGCCTGGGCTACCTCCAGGCAGGATAATATCTGCCAAGATTTGATCTGAATAAAATTAGCCAATGTAATAATTTTTTAACAGAAGTCTCATATAGCTACCTTGTAGTATGCTGGTTTTTCCTTTAATTACCATGTAAACCCTAACTAGGTCCCTTAGATTTTCCATAAGATTTTAATTAATAGGCAAGTAAACTCATTTTTTGTTGTTGTTGTTCAGTCGCACAGTCGAGTCCGACTCTTCGCAACCCCATGGACCACATCACGCCAGGCCCTCCTGTCTTCTGCTGTCCTCTGGAGTTCGCTTAATTTCATGTTCATTGCATTGATAACACTGTCTAACCATCTCATCCTTTGCCGTCCCCTTCTTCTTTTACCTTCAATCTTTCCCAGCATCAGGGTCTTCTCCAGTGAGTGCTCCCTTCTCATTTTGTGACCAAAGTATTTGAGCTTCATCTTCAGTATCTGGCCTTCCAGGGAACAGTTACGGTTGATTTCTTTTAGATTTGACTGATTTGATCTCCTTGCAGTCCAAGGGACTCTCAAGAGTCTTCTCCAGCACCATGATTCAAAAGAATCTATTCTTCGGCTCTTGGCCTTCCTTATGGTCCAGCGTTCACAGCTATACATTACTACTGGGAATACCATTGCTTTGACCATATGGACTTTTGTTGGCAGGGTGATGTCTTGCTGTCTAGATTTGCTGTAGCTTTCCTCCCAAGGAGCAGGCATCTTTTAACTTCATGGCTGCAGTCACTGTCTGCAGTGATCTTGGATCCCATTTTACTGTGTAGCAAAATAAATTCCCTGTAAGTTTACTTTATGTAGCATGGGCAGATAGTTTACTGTGAAGGCATGTAGACTTTGAGTAGTTGGGGGCATGGGCAGTAATTTCCCTAACTGGAGGGCCATCAATAAAATTATCTTCTACCAAGTTTTACCATTTATTTATTTTTTTGTTTATTTATCTAGGAATCCCTGTGTTTATGCTGCTTGTGATAATTGGGCTTTTTTAATGCCTTAACTGAACATGGATATTTTTTCATCTCTGAGAGCAAATTGGCCATATTGAACATTGATGGGTGAAATACTTTGTGTAAAATCCTTGAAAGACAGTTTCATAAATGTATGTATCCATATGCAAATATTTCATAAAAACCTGCGGCCATTTTTTTTAAGCATTGTTTCAGTTAGTTCTGGTGTCACAGAAGCATGGATTTCTTTTGCAGCATTTGAGGCTGGACAAAAATGTATTATGGTCATTTTGATCTATTCAGTATGGTAAAGAAGAAAAACTTTCTGAGCCCTGCTGTACTCTAAATGGAGTTCCGTTTACTGTACACCCTACTCAGTGTGAAACCAGTTTCCTTCCAGTCCCAGTCAGGCATTTTCCAGTGTAAGATGTTTTGATGCATTATGAAATTTGTTCAGGAAACCTCCTGTTTTAGTTCTGCTGCTTTAATAAGGGCAAAACTCTAATAGGATAATGACATCTAAGAAATACTACAATTGAGGCGAGGAAGTAAATATAAGGGGCTGCCTTAACAATGGAGGCCTCTTGGTTTGAGTTGCGTGAGTATTTTCTCTCTGTAGTTTATAGGTTTCTTTTGTTTCCCCCCCCCCTAAAAAGCTGCTGTAGCATTGGATTTGATGCAGTTGCTAAGAATGTAATAGGTTTAAAAATGACTTAGGCATTTACTGCAAAGCTGTTAATAGAGTCTCACAGTTTTATGCTTGCATGTTAAATTGTATAAATATAACTATGGATTTCTCCTTGCTGTTCAGAGTCTTAGACTCCCAGAACCACAAACAAGGGTTGTAACAGTGAGCAGTGGAATAATGCCAGTATTTGGGGAGTTTTCAACAAACATTAAACTGAAAATTAGTGTAGTGAATATAGAGTATAGTTGTGTACAGTACTTCTCCCATTGAGTAGCATGACTGGATTCCTAACAGACAGAAGGTTAGCACTGTATCTTGGCAGTCACCACTCTTCAGTCTGTGGTATTGGTGTCCCCGGGTTTACTGGTTATTGTGAAGGAAGTAGGGAGATATGAAATACTCTTTGTGTGTGGATCACATCTTTCCAGTGCTTCCTCAGTCTGCTATGTAAGTAGCAGAGAACTGGGTAGTTATTACAGGTTGCGCCATAAAGCTTTTCCCAGTGTCCAGGAGGGTTGTAGTCTATATTGTACTGACCAAAGTAGCAGATGGCTAGGAAAGAATTTGGGATTTCTTGAGAAAATACATTTGTTAGAAGAGGTTACACTTTGCAGCTGCTCTGCATTCCCAGCACTGCAAGCCAGCGGAAGACAAGTAGGAAGATGTGATGCTTCTTCATTTCACTCAGTCTATGCTTGGTATCCCCATCATATTAAGCAAGTGAGAAGTGGGAACAGGGCTGGATGGGCTGTTAATCTCAGTGGGACAGTTCACTGTGTGGTTGTGGCCTGGAGTGCTAGTGGCAAAGCTAAAGGGGCCATCAGTCACACCAGCTGTCTGAGGCATTTAAAAAGATACAGAATACAAGGAGACAAGAAGATGGCAGCTAAGGGGATGGGGGAGGTGGCCCTGCCCTGGAAGGGACCCCTTTTCTTGTCAGATTCCTCCACTGTTTCTCTAGATGTCTGTGGCAGCTCCAGCCTTTTTTTGTCCCATCAAGACCAACGTATGGTGACCCCATGGGGTTTTCAAGGCAACTGTGTTGGCTAAAGGATCCTGGCCAATTTGAGACGATGAGGGCCTTGCCTGCATGATGTCCCTGGTGGAACTGCCTTGGGCCGCCTTCTCAGCCATTTTCAAAAAACCTGCGGGGGGGAGGGAGGAGGGGGGGAGAGGAGAAAGGAGTCCGATAACAAGCTCCTTCGCATCCTCAATGTCTTCCCCCCAGTATTTAATAAGGGATGGGAATGGTCTCCCTGTGCCCTCTGGCCCCCCCTTTTCCACCTCAGAGGAGGCCATTTTTTCTATAGAGGAATTTTTTCCTGCTCTGAGGGACAAAAGCCCAGGAAAGACTCCCCCCTCCCTGAGGGGTATTTGGAAGAACGTTAACTGTCCTGGGGGAAGCAATACCCCCCCTCCAATCCCTTGGTGGGGCGGAGGTTTCTGGGGAGCGCACCGACGTCCTCTTCCCTCATGCAGTTCTCTTCCCTCATGCAGAGGGGTAGATTCCAGCCCGGTGTCAGCTTACCGTGTTTCAGGCGGGATGCTAGGAGTCGGCGATCGTCTGCTCCGTGTCCCACTTTGCTGCTGCCTGCCAAATGCCGGTAAGGAGAGACCTAATGCCTCCCTACCGCCACATTTCATCGCCTCTGCACTCCCTGGCGTCAGGAACAGGCCCTCCGCCCCCAGGATGGGTAAGGACGGTGGAGACACGCTCCTCGGGTTGCCGACGTGTCTGTGGGTCGAGACCTGATGCCGTTGATAAAGAATCTTGCGTTTCACTGTCCGGCTGTAAAGCCCAGCCATCGCATCTTCTTCTTCTTTCTTCCTGACTTCTTCTTTACTCAATGTGCGCTCTTCAGCACAGCCGGAGCACGTAGCAGGGCTGGCAAGAGAACTGGAGAGCCTACAAGGGGATAAGCCCTCCCCCGCCTGGATCAAAGCTTGGAGCCAACCCTGAGGAAAGAGGAGGAGCTTATCCCAGACGTAAGGAATGTACCACTCCAGAACCACAGAGAAAGGAAGATTCACGGTAAGTGAAAGAAACCTTCCGTTTACCAAGATCCTAATAACCTTGGTGGCCCATCTGAGGACAGTGGGCGTGTCCTTATTTCCATACCTGGACGACATCCTGGTCAAGGTCTTTTCCTATCAGCAGACGATGCAGTAATTGGAGATCACTCTGAAGGAGCTCAAACGTCATGGGCTTGTGATCAACAGGACAAAGAGCTCATTAGTGCCAAGTCAATCCATCCCACACTTAGGAGTACAAATCAACACAGAGAGGGACAGGGTGTTTCTCTCTCAGGACTGACAACAAAAGTTATGTCAATTGACTCAAAGTGTGTTGGAGACACCGAAGGTGGAAGTCATGCATCTAGTGCAACTTCTGGGGATGCAAGTGTCCTGTCAGGAAGTCTTACAATGGTCAAGGTTTCATGCAAGATTCCTACAGCGTTTTCTTCTTCCATTCCAGTCAGACATAGCACAGAAAAAGACCCGAGAGGTGGAGCTCCCGGAGTCAGTGAGGCAGCAACTATTATGGTGGCTGGAGCCGAACCGTTTCAGGGAGGGAGTGCCTCTCAGGGAACTTCCCCCACTAAAGGGGGGTAAGCATTGCCTGGCAGGAGTTTACAGACAGGGTGCGGGAGACCGCGCTATTGAGATAGCTGGCCGCCAAAATTGGGATGGTTGTTC